CCGCAATCCGCCGCATCCCAATTCCGTGTTCGGAAAGGAAATTAAGTGTACTACATACGGCTGGGCGATATAGCTAAAAAATGTTTCAATGATATAATGTTTCTGTGACGAGAGGTGCGGGGCAGAGAGCCGTGGGAACGGAGAGAGGCCGGTGGAGTAAATGCTAATGCACGACACCTGCGCCACTTGTCACAGTTTCATATCGTTCGGTATCGATAATTATTGACATTTTTTATAATCTTTTTTAAAACAGAGCAATATAATTTTTTTTTACATTTAACCACTGTATTTTTAAATGAACTGAGACAAACAACAAATATTATTTTGTTTTAACAGTCAAAAACTAAATAAAAATTAAACAAATATCTAATTTCTAATGTTGTATATGCAGATTAAATAGGTTAAAATTTTGGCCTGTCTCTCAAGGCCACAGGAGGGCGTAATGAGCAAAATAATGCAGCACATTAAATTGTCAACGCAAGGAAGTAACTGGCAATAAAAAAAACGTGCATTACGTCTAAATGAATATAAATAAAATATAATTGTGTAAATTGCATAAACAATTATGAACAAAACAGCATCACGTATTTATGCATTGCTTAATCCAAAGAGCCGAATCGCCCATCACCGAGATTGCCTTTAAAAACATATGAGACGCAGTGAAAAGGAATAAACCTCCACAAAAATGCGCGACGTGTTTTCTAAAAGTTTAAACTGTTTTAACTTTGCATGGTGAGACGCGAGTGCAGCAGTCGTATTTGTCCGTCTAGAAAATGCGCTGAATATGCGTTCTGTGTGAATGGCTTGGTTTCGGTTTTAAACTAATCAAGATCTTCCCCGCATTGAGCTTCTATATTTCTCTAGTATTTCGAATGAATAATGCAGCAACTGCGCGTCTCGTGGGCTAGACTAACAAAACATTAAACTACAACAACGTCACTTACATCATCATCACTGCATCTCGTGCTCCACTGATGACGCTCCCTGACGCACATCTAACATTGGATTGTACTATTTTTTGCATTCAAATGCAAATGTTTATTTTAAATTCGACTAATATTCATTCTTTACTCACAATCTCCTCATTACAGGCAGGCACAGCACTCATGTTCATGTTTGTGTGTGCTGTCTGCGTCACTCATAGCACGTGCCTATATTGTGCACTATATCAAACATTTTTTAATATCGTTATCGAAGAAGGTGTACCGTCGATAAATATCAATACCGTTTTATCGCCCAGGCTTAGTACTACAGAACCCCTAAAGGGAATAAATAGCCTACGAGATGGGGGGATAAAAAATGAAAAATATTTCAATACTTTCTCTCGCAATTATATCGTTGGGTAATTATACTGTATATAAATTGCGGGCATCAGGGAGCTGCTACTGATATGCAGGGCATTGAAACCGCTTTCGAATGCGTGCTCTCATTTTACTTTCACTTTCGAGATTCGCGATTACACGGACTCTATACTACAGAGCGGCAGTACCTACCACACATTTTAAAAGATTCGATATTTGTCAGTGGTGCTCAGGATCTGCAAATCATTCGCCATTGTTCTATCAATCATCTCTCCTTACTCTGTGTATGTGGTAAGTGAACTTTCAGGTACTGTAATGTAACAGTCTACCGCTAGCAAGCGGCAAACCATGCCCCTTTAGTGGCTCCATAGAACGTGTTATTTGTTTTCCGTGCCTTTCTGCATGCGGATTCACGCTTCGGGCACACCACCCAACCCCGCCCCCGATGTCATCGTCCATCACGATGTTTCACTGTAGACATCGTCCGATGCCAATATGGTAGACATCGCCCAACCCTAGTTTGTGTATCAAAAACAATTGATCATATGATGTATAACTTAAAAAAAAAAAAAAAAAAAAAAAAACTGTTTACTTGCTTGATCACAGATCCCGAATCCCACTTAGACTCAGATGAGGACAACCGTGACCTCTTCCCAACATCCTCTATGGCATCTGTCACTAACTCGTACTCTGAGGAGGATGGAATTGCAACTAGAGGCAGTACTGGACACGTTTCCTCCACAGCCACCACTTCTACTAAAAGACCCTCGTCTTTCTCAGGAGTGGAGCCAGACAGTTCACGTGAGCAGTTAGTGCACAGTGCAAGCCTTAGCGTGCAAGAGCAGCACACCACCAACACTCTTCTTGCTACAGTCTCCCGTTCACTTGAGTTCCTTGCGGAGTCAGTGCAGCAGCTAGCAGAGACGCAACAGGAGTTTGCACGAGAATCACTGCAGCTACAGAGGGACACTGTGCAAGTGTTGCGAGATTTTGCCTCCGGCACTCTAACAATACTGCATGAAAAGGTCAACGGCAAACCGGCATTGTGAAATTTGTGTTTAGCAATCAAATGACAACCAACAAGCAACACAGTGTGTGACACATTGTTGATACGATACTGCAGCCAGGCTGCAAATTAGGGATGCACCGATATGAAAATTTTGGCCGATACCGATAACCGATTATTCTTTATTTTTGAAAGCCGATAACCGATATGTTGGCCGATAAATCTATATCCAAATTATATACTTTTTGAGAGCCTGATTACAAAAAAGGTCTCATCATTAAAAGCCACATCCCAAACACTTCAACATAAGCAGCCTAGTTTGAACGGTGTACGTTTTAAAAATATTTTTACTCTCCCATTACCAAATTTAGTCATAAAAAAGTCTTACAAATAAATAAAATAATGCATAAATAATGCAAACAAGTCACTGGACATCATTACACGTGTAAAGAATCAAAATGAATGCGCCACAGATCAATAAAACGGAATAGCCTCTGCACGGACAATAATTAAATGATTTTAATTACTAAACCATATTGTTGATGAAAATAATAAGAGAACAATACAAGTGGTTGTTGTTATTAATAATGTATCAATGATTTTGAAAAAGTAACAAATTAATACCACTGTTTTAAATAGCAGCCGTTGAGCTGCGCGTGCTGAAGCTGAAGAGCTGAATGAACATGGTAAACTGAAGCGTTTTGCTGGCAGCTTATTTAACTCAAGGAAATGCATCCTGAGATTAATATTAATACAACATAAACATAATATTACAACTTATATATGTACAAAATGACGCAGTTATTGCATGCTATAGTCAGAATGTGTGATCCTGTTGTGGATGCGCTCTTCCCATAACAACGCGCTGAAACATGGCAACTAAACCCAAAGAATTCACAATGTTTTATTATAATAATGTTCTCATTAGATTGTTATATACATGACATTCCCAATCATAGTTATTAATGTTGTGCACTGCTGTTTGAGCTGCGTGTGCTGAGCTAAAGATGATCATCGGTAAACTGAAGCGCTCTTTTAACTTAACCAAACGCATTCTATATGAGATAAATCAGATATACATCAAATAAACACAATATTACAATGTACAATTGCACAAAAGGCTGCAAACGAACAGCGCGCATCTGAAGTGTCTCTGAAGGAAATAATGCATTATTTATCGGTTTTAAGATATCGGTCCAATTTTCTTATCAGGCCGATACCGATAACAGAAAAAATGAGCATTTATCGGCCGATACCGATATGGTGGCCGATATATCGTGCATCCCTACTGCAAATATTGTGTGATATAGACAGACACAACTTCTCACTGTAACCTTTGCTGACCATCACAAGGTTCAGTGTCAGGATGTCAAAATACTGTGATTAAGTGCAAAGGCGACTATTTGAGAATATGCTTTTGTAAAAAATGCAACGATGTTAACATTTGTACCTACTCTCTGTTTATCAATATAGTTTATCAATTTTTGTTTTTAGTGAATGGCAAACAATAGTGAGACCACAAAGGGATTTTGTTTGTGCCATCTTCCACAACAAAATATTACTTTTTTCTTCACTCACCACATTATCACATAGGGGTTGTTGAGATTAACCTGCTGTGGGGTGATTCACGGGACCTACTTTTAAAAATTGACTCTGATTTATGAATTTGATTTAACATCTGTCGACTCGTTAAAGGGATAGTTCACCCCAAAATGAAAATTCTGTCATCATTTTCTCACCCTCATGTTGTTCCACGCCTGTATGACTTACTTTCTTCTGCGGAACACAAACGAAGATATTTTGAAGAATGTTAGTATGAATGAATGTTCCCCGGATATTTCTGATGACATACAAGTCATTGTTTAAAAATCCTGTAATCGGTCATGACCTGTAGGTTGTGGTGTATTTGTAGCAAGTTTATCATCTGAATGATGCTGTAAGGAGTGTTTTATTTACTCAAACACGTTTTATATTTATTACAACTTTGTAAGAGATGATGTTTCTGTGATATTTGATGTTATTAACTTTGACAGACAGGAAACGGTATATATGCACTATATGCAGTCACATAATTAATGGTAAGGACAACTGAAACTTCTTGAAGACCAATATACAGTGTAAAATAAGGTTTGAGACATCTGGATCTGATTAAAATTGGTCTCATAATTTGTCTAGTAGGACAGTCTTTTCCAGTGGAAATTTATAAATGTATTATTTTCTTATGCTTGTGTACATTGATTTAGGAAAGTAGGACAAATGTACATCTTCAGGAACTAAATTTCCTATGTCAAGATTTTAATGTTATTATTTTGTCACTAGAGGGCAATGTGTCTTTTAATTTACACACAAAATGGTCCTCTTGATTATTTTTCTGCACGTGTTTCTTCAAAGTCATTGGGTTTTCCAGCAGGAGTTTTGTGTGCGTGTGTATGTTTGGTTTCTCAATGAAAACCGCTCCGTAAATGAGCCAGATATTTCAATAAATTTTAGTTGAAAGTTTAAATTAAAAGTTTAGTGTGTATTTTATGCTCCTTTTTCGCTTTTTCGTGTCTATACTTGTATTGAAATATTGACGTGGACGCCAAGAAGTGATTAGAACTCGAGCATTGTTCTCTGGCCTCCAGGGATGAAGAGCTCTGCTTAAACAGCTGCTAGTTTGTGTGTGTGTGTGTGCTGATGTAGGGCTGTGGTTGAGAATGCTTTGTGTCTGTGTGTGTGTGAGAGAGAGATGGCAGCTGGTAGCCCTATTGTGTGGTTAGGGACCTCTGCTTAAAAAAAGTACTGTATTGTGTTTGTCTGCAGATTGTGAATATGTCTGTATAATATATCAGTGATTTATCATATAGGCTATCTACACTGGACGGCACACTGAATACACAATATTAGTTTTTTTCCCCCTTTAGTTTAGGCTGCAATAAACTACCTTTTTTTTTACATTTATAGTTCTTTGAAAACAAGTTTGTTTTTCTTGCTATTGTTGTAAATGATTAAGCAGATAAATAAGATAGGTAACTTGTTTACCTGTTCAAGTTTGTAACTTTAAACTTTCAGGTCCATGTTAAAGCTGGTCTTGATTTTAAGAAACATTTTATGTTTAAGGATATGTATAAAACAATTTTCCAACTTTTTGTGGTTTTGTGTATGTATAATAAGAGATTTTGTTAAAGAAGTATATTCAGCATGGACACAATTGCTCAAAAGTGAAAGTAAAGACATTCATATTGTTACAAAATATTTGTTTTTCAAATCAATGATGTTATTTTGAACTTCTGTTAATCCAAGAATCATGAAAAAATTGTCATGTTTCCACAAAAAATAAGCAGCACAATCTGCATATTAGAATGATTTCTGAAGTTAGAAAACAGTTATTTTAAATTGTTATATTTCACAGTATAACTGTTTTTACTGTGTTTTTGACCAAATAACTGCAGCCTTGAAGAGCATAAGAGACTTTTTTCAATTACATTAAAAACTCTTGCTGACCCCAAACGTTAGTGTATGTGTGTTTCAACGTAGTTTCTCTGTCAAACCTGCCACACATCAGCTGCCATCTGGAACAAAAGAGGCGGAGTGTGGAGCAACAGCGGATAGATTTATCGATCCTTCTTTTCTTCCAGTACAACTTTGTCCTTCCTCCCCTTCTTCTGTTGGTCTGCTGACCTCTTCACCTATTCTTCTCTCTTTCACCCCTGCTGATGTTCCTGCCCTCTCTTTTATCCTACATCTGTCACCCTGGGTTCTCTAATAACCCAACGCTACCTCTGCTGTGAGGCCCTCTTTTCCTCCTCAGAGGTTCAGAGCTTCATGGTGGGGCCCATATCATTCCAGTCTATTCAGCTGCATGAGCCAGTCGTGTGTCTGTGTAGTTGCGGTGTGTTCAGTGCACCTGTTCTAACGCATTAATATTAATGTTTTTCACTTTCACCTACTAGGTTCATGTGTTTTTGTTGCTATGTTGAGAGTTTTTTTTTTATCTGAATGAGATGTCCACACTTTGGGGACAAAAAACCTCCAAGTAAAAAATAAATATTTATATCTATTTATTATTCTATGCCTCATACATAATATTTAATATAGTAAATCATGTATTTTTTTCTGTCTTTTTTAGATTTTTTTTTTTTTAGAATTTGTTTTTCATAGATGCAGATGCCCAGATTCAAATACAAATCCCCCATGACCACTCACACTGACCTCAAGAATACTGCTCTGTCTTAATGTGTTTTCAGCAGTGTGCTTGTCTGAGTATACGAGATCTGTTTCTTTGAGATTATTCCTGTCATTTTTACTTGAACATAGCAGCTGCACATACATAGACATCCACAGCAGCTCCAATACTTACATACATTTCATCGGGCAAAGGTCGCTTCCCTCAAGGCAAGCAGATTTTGTACATGTGTATATATGCGCGTGTGTGTGTGTGTGTGTGACAGGAGTGGTCTGTTGTCCCAAAGGGCTCAAGGCCCAACAGATGCTGTTAGAGAGTGTGTCCTCAGGATGCTGGTCTGGTGTGGGTCACTAATGTATGCAGATGAACTATGTGTGTGTGTGCACAAATTTGTGTAATGACATGGGTATGACATAGGTATTAAAACGAGAAGGTGATTTATGAGGACATTTTGAGTGTCCCCATATTTCAAAAGGCTTATAAATAATTCAGAATTAGTTTTTTTTGAAAATCTAAAAATGCAGAAAGTTTCCTGTAAGGGGTAGGTTTAGGAGCAGGGTTTGTGTAGTAGGGCAATAGAAAATACAGTTTGTATATAGTATACAAACCATTACGCCTATGGAATGTGTGTGTGTGTGTGTGTGTCCTATGGGAGCATGACACCAGGGTGAGCAGATGTCATGACGTGTGTGGAAATCCTGGGTCGGGTGTCATCTAAAGGCTCGAAAGAGGATATGGCAATGTGAGTGAATGTGTGAAGTTGTATGTGTGTATAGTCGGATATCTCAGGTCTGAGGATTGTGAATGGACATCACTCTCTTTATGTGAATGAATGTGCAAGTTTGTTTTGATTATGAACAGGTTTTCAGTCATATTTTTAAATCTTTAATGCCTCATCTTAAGATGGACACGATGGTGTTTGAGGTATTGGACAGAGTGACTAAAAATGACTTAGAGGAAGTCTATTTGTATTGCCAGCATGTGCCTTTTTGCAGGACTGCACATTTGTGAG